TGACTAGTTACTCACAAACGAGGTGAGGTGACCGACGATTCACCATGTAAGAGAACTAAAAAAACATGTATTCCTATCTTTCCGGGGTTTCAGCCTTCCAGTCTTTCATCTCATCACTTCCCTAGCTTTCCTTTCCTTTCCTTTCCTTTCGCTTAGACACCTTCTCATTCATTAAGATAATACCATGTATGAGTTTTCAGTACGTACTGTAACATTTCTATATATACATCTATATCCACCTATATATCAAAATCTATATCCAACGACTTATTGACTTATTATATCTCGCTAAAGTACAAGTAGCTATACTATAAGAATAATTCTCCTCAAAAATGTTAAGATATAATATATGATAAATTAAAGATAATTCCACTCTAATAACTCTAGAAAATAGAAAGAGAGATCAAACTAGTGCATCCAGTGAGCCAAGTTACTCAAGTCAATTGACAAGTCACCCAACAAGCCACTCGACAAGTACATCTACAAGGTAAATCTATATGTATATACATTTCACTACACATCAAGTCATAAACCGCACGTCATAAATCGACCATTTCTTTTTCTCAATCTAGCTCCTGTTCTAGCTCTAGCTCTAGCTCTAGCTCTAGCTCAGTAACATCACATCACATCAATTAGAACAACATCAATTCAAATCAATATCAATCCAAGAAACAAATAGCCAAATCCGCAAGCACAAGCACAAACATAAATACAAGCTAAGAGGATTTAACAGTAAGTGCACTGTGGATAGGAGTTATATCATCAACCTCATGATTTGACATGGTCTTGCTCAAAAAAGAGGGTTGAGTGATGCGAGTCATTTGATATATAGGATAGGTAAGTAGATATGTATTCAGATAGGTATCTAGATAGGTATCTAGAAATGTATATAGATATTGCATATATCTTTTATTGCACATTTGATGTTCTATATAATAAAACCAACCCATATCAACCCTACCCAAACCAAACTACAAGATATATAACTAACTAATAAACATTTCTCAAGAACCCCCCAAAATAGCTATTAGCATCGACTAATCAACCAATTAATAGGGTTAACCTTACAAGAATAACTTATCTGATTATCTTATTAGCTCTAGACTCTAGTCAGCCAGTCACTTGACCTGATCTGACCAGACCAGCCAAACCAAACCAAACCATACCTGTTCTGTATCTTTTGTTTATTGCATATCTCACATCTCACATCTCACATCTCACATCTCATATCTCATGAATTGATTTTCCATGACTCTGGAGTAAGTGAATGAGATCAAATTCGATCTTTGAAATTTGAACTTCGAACTTCAAGATTTGTACCCCCTTCCTCTCCCATGATCTATCCTATCCTATCCTATACTATACTAAATAAATGATCTATCTTACCGGGCAAAAAATCAACTCAAACTCAACCAAATAAAATAAAACAATTCCCAGTCGCGCAAAAGACCCGAAACAAACAAACAAACAAACAAAAGACTCACTCTCACTCTCACCACCCAAACCATAACAATAACCAAGTCCGCAAATCCGCAAAATCCTAAAATCCTAGCTCATTGCAGACTTGCAGTATCTCAGTCTCTCAATCTCTCAATACCATCCAACAAAAGCTCTCCCACAAGAACTTTTCGATCTTCGATCTTTGATCTTCGTAGGTATGTATATTTGTATATTGATTGTGTATCCACGAGTAAATAAGTCTTAACATAACATACCATAACATACCAAACATCTCAAAACATCTCAAAACATCTCAAAACAAAAACATCCCCGCAAATCGTAATTATATTCCTAATACCCAATACCCAATACCTAAATATTACAAGTTACAAGTCACTCGTGCTGTTACCTACCTATAATACTTGTACAGTCCCACACCTTTTCATGTGCTGTATGGTCTCCATCTCGATCTCTATATATCTATCCATCTAATCTAATCATCAGCTTGATAAGAGTAAAGATTAGGTAGGGCTGAAAGAAATAAAGAATCAAAGAATCAACAAAGTTAGACTGAGATCATATCATATCATATCGTATTGTATGTGATACTATAGTATTACCCACACCCGCTCCCGCTCCCACACCCACGCCCGCGCGCCTTCTGCCCGAATATATGTGCCATGTATATCGAAGCTCAGACAAATAAACAAACAAACAAACAAACAAACCGTTTGATCATAACGGTAGAACAGCTGAGCGGGTACGCGAGTATAAAAGGTTGTCTCGCACGGGTATGAGTATGAGTATGCATGCATGGCTCGTCAGACAGACAGACAGGAATTATGTAATTTTATTAGAGGTGAGGTGAGATGAGGTGAAGATAAGAGAAAAAATACTCATACTCATACTCATACTCATACTCAAATATCTCGTAGAGACGTAGAGACGTAGAGACGTAGAGACGTAGAGACGTAGGGCTGATTGGGTTAGGTACGACTTCGTAACGATTCTGTAACGAATGACGAGAGGAGTTTGGGGGTTGGTTCGGCTGAATCGGCTAATATGTTAATGTTAAGTGTGTCATATGTGTTGCGTGATAAGGCAGGTAGATAGGTAGGTGAGTGAGAATAGAAATTGACGGAGAACTTTTTGTTATCCTAGGAAGGAACCTAGGGAGGAAGGAAGGTATGGATTGAGTAAGGTTAAGGTGAAGAAGGAAGGATAGTAGTGGTGTATCGTATTGTATTTAAGGTAAGGTAAGTTAAGGTAGTAGTTAGAACTTAGGTATGTGGTATTACTATTACTAATACTAATACTAATACTAATACTAATACTAATACTAATACTAAGTTGTAGACTGTATATAACATGCACTTTTGATTGTCGGATAGTAATACTGTACGAGTAGATACTAGATACTAGATTGTAGAGGATAAGGATAAGGATGAGGTTAGAGAGTTGGGATTTGGTTAGATGTATCCATCTAAATACTCGAGTATATATATTATACATGAATATTTGGAAAGGAGATATGTAATGCAATGTCGCATCGAATCGAATCGAATCGAATGCCCTTGATGCTTAAGCTATACATACGGGACAGACCGAGATCTTCCCTTCCCGCTTTGAAATTTATCCATGGGAAAGATATTGCGTGCATGTATGTAGTCGCCATGTGGTCGCCGAATATTCGGTATAGCTATTGAATACAGTAGTGGTAAATTTAACGGCTACGCGAAATTTTTATATCCACAACCATGGACCACTGGTTTGAAGAATGTCAAGACTGGTATGCAATATCGTGAAGAATGGTATAGGTATCGGTCGTATTCACAAGATGTGGTACTTGCAATATTTCAGGATATACTAGGTAAATGAAGGTGATAAGCCTAGTGTGTCTGCCATCCATTCGTACGTCAAATTGTTGGAAAAAGCACTACCCAGAATCACGATCTGTTCTGCACTATGATCCTATCCTGTCCCATCGTCCTTGAATTCCATCGACGCCAATCATTTTTTCTTCACAGTTCGGATAGCACTAACAGACCAGACAGTGTATTTACACGTGACGGAAAGATTGAAGTACAGTCAGCTTACTTCCCCGCCGACCGAGAAGGGCAAGTAATTTTTGGTGATGTTGTTGTGATTCCGTTATAGCAATCGGGGGTCAAACAATGAAGAATACAACTCCGACGGGGGCCAAAAGCGATATAGTTTCGAGGAACTTCAGCTATTCATACAGAAATGTATCAGTAGGCTAAAAAATGATGCCAAGAAACATCCACCGTTGCAGTACTACGTCGTCCAAGATCTAGGACGAGCAGTATTATCACTTTTATGCCAGGATAAATTATCAAACTCTTGATTTCTATATATTTACTATTCGTCGCTGAACGAATTGGAATTGGTGTAAAAGCATGATCTGGCTAGCGGCAAGGGGTATATATACTGGGGCAACGTTAAGAGTGCAATGATTCGGTTCAAATGTCTCGCCGACTCCGGCCGAAGAAAAACCTTTTGTAATGAATGAAATACGAGTAAACACGAATGGACTTTCTTACTGAAAGCCAAGAATCAAGAAAGACAGATTTTCAAATGCTAAGATAAGTGAGCCAAGGCGAAGCGAACTCATCACTAAGCAATCACATCGGCTCCGAGACCAAAACAAAACAAAACAAAACAAAGCAAACAGCCAACGATTAATTACCTCACACATGCCCCCCTTGCCATTTTGGTAAAGTTGGGTTGTGGACCTTATGGTAAGGCTGAATGAAGCACAGCAAATCTCAAGCAAGCAAGCAAGCCCTTAAGGTTATTCATCTCCACGAGGTTGTACTGTACTTGTACATGAGTTCTCAAAGCCTCTTCATGCAAAATGAATCCTTTTGAGCTCGGCACCCTAGTCTAAAGGAGATGGAAGTCCTATGGAGTAGTCAAGTGAAAGGAAGGATTCCGGAGTTGTCGAATGCGGAAGTTGGTTAGCGAAAGGTCGATTGTAATTGCTGAAGGAAGTCTTTTTCAACTATGGATTATACAATATATACAGTACAGTACTCGTTATATCAATAGTAGGTAAAGGTTATTAAAATGAAAGCGATTATGCATCTCCTTGTGTATTTAAGCTTATATATACTCATACGTGTGGATATATATATACATCTATACATCTACATCTATAGTATAAACTAAAAGGAGACAATAATTAGATTAGATCAGATCAATCAAATCAGTAGATAATAAATAACCTCTCTTTATATAAACATAAACATATCAACAAATATAATATAACATTTGATTTTATTAATGACATAGATGATTACTAATTAAATCCATCAATTAGCATATCTATAAATCCAATGAAAGAAACGCAATCATTATTCTCTCAATTCGGTCTTTTCACGAAAAAACCCTAGAAACCGATCCTATCGATCTATACCAGTATTACTATTACTATTATACCGCAAACAAAGCCGGAAAGATCGGAGAAAGGAAAATGGGTGAGTAAAAGATATGTAAGCAAAGCAAGCAATTAGTCGATTATGCATTACATAAGAAGAGGCAAAGAGATTACTATAGTTAGTTGAATCGAAACTCTAAAATATATACCTACTAGTACTTATACACCTTTCAAAATAATAAAATCTTATAAAGTCCTTACTCATCATTACTTTACTTTTCTAAAAAAGATAATCATCAATCAATCTACTCGAGTACCAGTTTATTAAATTTTATTCATTCAAAATAACGGAAAATACTCTAAAACTTGAAGGGAATCCATCATCCCAAATCACGTGCCTTACAGTATTATACTTCGGAAGTTCGCGGTTAGTTCAGTCAGGTAGATTTCGAATCATTCACTTTGGAGAAACAGAAATACGCCATAGAAGCAACCCAGCCAGCCTCCAGTCAAAATTCGAATAACATAACAGTGGATTTTATATATTCAACGAGGAGAATTATCCAGCCTTTTCCATTTCCTTCGTCTTTTTTCAGTGGTTAATTACCAGTACCAAATTTACGAAGAGGTTTACTGTACCAATAACTTCTTAGTACAAGTACTTAATAGTTGTTTTTGATCTTCCTTAGCCCAGTTTACCCACCACCCACTACCCACTACCCACCACCCACCACTATCATCATCGAAGGGTCACGTCAACTTTCTGATAAATCTATTTGTCAAACAAGCAAATCAAAACTCAAGAAACTCCGAAAATCATCAAATCCCCACCCCCCTCCTCTCCCTTCCTTCCAAAATAAAGTCCCAAAAAGCAAATCTCCACTACTTTACCCACGTACGTACCTACGCTTTTGTTAACTTTCCAAACATGCAATCAATCGCGCCGGCACCTGTAGCACAGATGCAGAATCAGGTCCGTATTCCCTTTTCCTTTTCCATCGCGTGTACTTTTGAATTTATGAGTCCTTCTCTCATCTATCAATCTTACCTATAACTCCGGTGGTCCATGACATTTTGACTTACCTCACTTTGTCATACCCCTCAATTCATATTCCCTTCCAACATTTCAATTGCGAAAAGATCTCGAGTTTTCCCAATTCGCGCGGTCGCAAACATAATATAACCCCCAAAGGAATATTGCATCTTAAAAGCTGACTCACTCGCGCAGGAAATGGGTGCAGACAATGGTATAACCTTCCCTTTCCTTTCTTCGATAACCAAGCACAACAACGGTTTTCTTGTCCCCCCCATGCCAGTATAGGTATATGCGGCTATACGAGTCGAGTCGAGTAAAATCAAAAGTACCTTCGTCGTATCGTTTTGCGCCGCGACTTATGCTTTCGTTCCTGACACCCCCCATGTTTATGTTGCTTTCTGCTGACACGCCTCACCTCTTCCTCCAGATTTAAGAGTTCAGCTCTTGAACTTGACTTCGCATTCCCAGCAGCACAACACTCAGACACATGGCTATAATCACGACGTGCAAGCTTCGAGCAGTGCTTCACCTCACGATCATAATATAGATCCTGCCATCGGTGGACAGATGATGTCGGAAAGCGGAGGAGATGATGCAGATGGTCGAAAGGGTGGAAAACGCGAGCTTTCTCAATCAAAGCGTGCTGCTCAGAATCGCGCAGCTCAGGTTCGTTATTTTCATTCGTATCGCGATTTTTCTCGTTGGCGCATTCTTCGTGAGGTTATTATTGATGCGAAGTATCGCTTGTTAAAAAAAAGTTAACGTCGGATTGAGATTTATGGTTCTCTTGCTTTGTCAATTCTCATGTCATCCAAAAATATCCCCTCCAACACATCACTCAAGCTTACATAATCTATCACACAGAGAGCATTTCGTCAGCGTAAAGAAGGATATATCAAGAAGCTTGAAGAGCAAGTTCGTGATTTTCATACATTGGAGGATAATTACAAAGCTATTCATGCCGAGAATTACTCTCTGCGCGAGTACATCATCCGACTACAATCTCGACTCATCGAATCCCAAGGAGAATTTCCACAACCACCACCAAATATCAACTTAAGCCATTCATCATCGCACCCTCACCCGCAACAAACTCAACAAAGACAAATGGAGTCATTAGATCACATGCAGCGACACGAAGCTCCCATCGCCCCAATGGCCCCCATGGGCTCCCTCCATGCCGCCGCCGCCAGAACTCTAGCAGCAGCCAGTCTTAAACACCCTAGTGAAGAGCAGCAAATTCAACAACAGCAACAGCAACAGCAACAGCAACAGCAACAACCCTATGCTCCTCATCAAGACACCAAACGCTTCAAGGACGACGAAACCAATGATGAGAATCTTATTCGCTCACAATTGGCCGCAGGCCAACTAATCGCTGATGGTCTACCAACTTCTATGTCCATGTAGTTATGTGTATGTATCTCACACACATAGGGTCTGTCTGACTTTTTCCTTCTTCTGCTTTTTCGGCGTTGATAAAGACGGAGGGAGGCTATTCGGGAAGGGGAAAGGAAGGTTTACTATGAATGATTGATAGGACATTTGATATGATATGATATGGGTGGCGTTTCTACTTTTTTATTAAATATAAAAGTGGTGCCTACTCACTCACTCACTCACTCACTCTTTTGGTGGTGATTTGTTTTATTAGTTCAATCAATATTGCTTGCTTGCTTGCTGGCTTTGCTTTGCTTTGCTTTTGTCTATGGCGTTTACTATACTATCTCTCTCTACCTCTCTCTACCTCTCTCTTTAGTTTTGGTTTGGTTTTGATTTACTTCTATAGTATACTTCATTTCACATTCACATGTACTCGTATGTGTTTTATTATGTGTTTTATTCAAATGTGGGTTGGCCTATATGAAGGAGATGTGTTCAATGAAGCATTAGCATAGCATGGTACGGAACGGCACTGTATGCAATGAAAACTTCGGAAACTTCGAAGCTTCGGAAATAGTGTGTTGATATATATGCGTACATGCCTGCAAGATGCAGAGTGAGTGAGTTGTTCCGAGGAGGTCGAGGAGGTAGAGGAAGAGATGTTGGATGGATGGTGGAATGGAATGGATGGAATGAATGAATAGTCCGGCTCTGATGCATTAATGGATTGACACGGATGGGCATTACATTACATAACTAGCTAGCTAACTGACTTACCATCTTACTCATCATACTTACTTACTTACATACACATACACATACTTATCATACCATACCGGTATACCTACCTACCTACCTACCTACACATACACACACATACACACATATATATATTATCCTTCCTACTTCCTACTTCCTACTTCCTATAACAAATCACAAATCACAAATAACAATAACAATAACAATGAACAATAAGCAATAACAAATAACAATAAGCAATGAAAAATCACAAATAACAAATGAAAAATAACATATCACAAATGAAAAATGAAAAATTTCGAGATACCGGTATATAAAACACGAGTACCGATAGTTAAATATGTTTTTTTTGGATTGACTGGTTGACTATATGAGTTACTGGCTAGGTAGTGAGCGTCTAAGTACTGGCTAGGTATTTGACTGACTGATTGAGTACTAGCTAGGGGTACTGAATGAACTGATTAGATACTGACTATCTGGGTACTTTTTATTTTCCTCTCCCTTATCTCATCTCATTTCCTCTCCTTCATCTCTCCAAGTACCAGTATAAAGAAAACAAATCACTCATTCATTCATTCAACCGACTTGTATTGACTCTCAAGGAGAGTTAAATCTAGATTCAGATTTAGATTGATATTCATATTGACCGATATTGATCGATATTGAAAAAGTTAAAAAGTTAAAGAAAAATAAGAAAACAAAAAACAAAAGAAGAAAACGCCTGACCTAACCTGACTTGACTAACCGGACCCCCGACCTAATCGACTGACTCTCTGACTCATCATATGTTCTTGATATTCTTGATATCCCTCATTCGATCTATCTTGGTTTTTTGGTTGGATTAGATTGATCATTAATCATGAATATGCATTCCCTAGATCATGTTCCTGCACACAGGCGAATTAGTCAAGATGTCCTGTTGAGACTGCTGCCCCTAACCCTCTACTCCTCACTCCTCACTCCAATCACATCATATCATATCACATCATACCATACCATACCATGCCACACCACCACATAAAGAAAAGTGCAACAAAACCCCACCCAAAAACATACCTTAAGATAATCCCCCCCCTTCTCCCCATACTCTTCCCTCGTAACCCTCGCCTCTTTCCACCTATCCCCACAACTCCACTTTGCCGCCCCCCTCCACGCATCCAACAAGTGATCGCCCGCCCTCCTAAACTTAACCTCCGTGCCCGCCTCTAGATGCCCCCTCAATCCCTCGCGTAACCTCTCGTCGAAATTCTGCCACGATGCATTACCACCTGTGAGAAAGATATCTTTGAAGAAATCCTGCTGTTTCATGCCGGGTCCGGAAACCCGCTGCGTTAGTATATCTGCTGCGATTTCAATTATGCCTGCTTGGTCTAGACCCGCTATGCTGGGCTGGAAAAGCACTTCTGGGACGCGGATTCGTTCGACGTTGAGATGGAGTTGATGGGCCTCCGCTGTGCTTGCAGGGTTGAATGGGCGAGGCCCTCGGAGAAAGGCATGGATGAGTGATTTGGTCCAATCAGTTTGCGCATCCAGTGTATGCTGATCCGTGAATTCCGGATCGTATTTCAAGAGATCCGCTTCGAGGGTTTTAAGCATAACGTTGGGATCCTCTTCTTCCTCGTCATCGCTGCCGCCATCTCCGGTTTGAATGGTGCGATAGACTCCCCAGTCATCATCATTTTGGCCGAAATTGTCATCATCGCCTCCGCGACGGCGTTTTTTAGTTGGGTTATCGGATGCGAGATTTGCGATGCTCTTCATGCGCATTTGACTCGCGAGACTCTTTCTATTTCCGAGATCCGCTTTGAGACGTTTTTCATCCTTGAGTTTCTGTAGCACAATTTCCCGAGCTTCCCGACGCTCTTGGAGCCAGCCTTCGAGATCATTTTCTCGTTTCTCATCATCTATGCGCTGTTCTTCGGCGATACGAGCTTTCTCTGCTTCTTTTTCCGCTTTGGCACGGGCGCGGGCTTCAGTGCTGGCTTTCATAAGTCGTTGATGACGTTTTTGTTTAAGACGTGCTTCGTCGAGTTGGTCGTCCGGGATATCAAGCATAGAATAGTCGGGTTCTTCAACCTCTTCTTCGATTTCGGGTCCACCGATATCCTTGGTTCGAGCCTTGCGAATATTCTTGTCAAGTTCCTTGATGGTTTTTTCGAGAGCTACTTCGTCTTTCAATTCTTCGGCGTCGAGTAATCGTTTGATTTCTTTTTTCGTTTGATCTACCAACCTGCTTTGCAAATGTCTGTAGTAATCAAGCTCTTGTTCTTTCCGGATCAACCTCTCGAGTCGCATTTTGGCGGCTTGTTCTTGTAGTCTTCGACCACTCTCCTTTCTCTTCTCGGCAGCTTTGGCTAACTCTTCTTCACTCTTCTGCACCTCAATTACCTCTGTATATGGATATTGAATGACACGATCTCTATCTTCCAGCCCTGTCCAATCGAGATATTTGCTCACTTCTTGGTCATAGTTTTTTGACAAGTAGCAATGATCTTGCACCATATATTCAATTTGAGTAGCGGCTAGCTTTCCAGGAAAACTAGGATACTTCAGTTTGATGAGCTTTAGAAGGTACTCGGCGCTTTGTGATGCACCCCAATTCAATCTTGTGGCTTGTGTAAGCATAGCTTTTGAGTTGTAAACCGGAATGAGATGTGTAGAGCTATGGGAAGATGATACAACAAGACCTGTTTTGCCATTATTATAGTCGTAAGAAAATAGAGAATCGATTCCGTAGGCCACTGATGGTGCTCCATAACATTCGAATATAATTTCCGTCATAGCTGTCCCATAAAATTAGCATAATTTTCGATTTCTTCGGATATTCCATACATTTCCTTGAATATGGCAAGTTTGCAACAGCTTCCGTCATAACAATAGGCATATTGACTCTGCCCTCTGAATCAACTCCCAATTTGAGGAAGATACAGTCCAGCACCTGCTCCATGACATCCCAATTGCTAACAATTCCACTTCCTGCCTCAAAGGCATTTCTCATATGGCCCTTAGCTGTAGTATCTGCGTATACATCGGCACCGACAAATGAATACGTTTTGCCCAATTTTCTGTCCCTATATTTCGAGAAAAGCGGCAGGATATTGAGGCGCGGTGAGTCCTCAAAGGACCAGCCAGCTCGAGTCACCGATGAGCCTGCGACGAAAGACATTAGCACCAGTAAAACATTTTGTCCTAGCCAGAATGCGCGGTATTAAATTACCATTGTCAATCACTATCGCAGCTTGGCCAGACCCTCGCGACTTCGCCTTCTGATATCCATCTGGCTGGGGCTCAACATATTTGTCAAAGTGAAGATCCTTCGCAAGATATAGTGTAGGAGGAGGTATTGAGTTCTGTCGCTCTGACGGAGGCGCATCGACGTCCATGGCTGATGGCGACATCATTCCTTGGAAGGGAGTTATTCGTGGAGGTCTAGATCATTATTTGTGAAGTGTTGCGACCAAAAAAAATAACTAGATAGCATAGAGATTAACGATAAACATTCAATTTATACAATGATGTGTTGAAGTTGCAGCCGCTTCACAAGGCTACACTTTTGTAACAAGGCTAATGAAATGCATGCACGACGAGTAAACATCATAGCCTTGCGGAGAATCACGATTACTCTATCTACCTAGGTACAGCACCAGCTTTCGTTGAATATCTCCCAAGTCATGAAAACCATTCTCATCAGTCATTATTGAAGTAAATCTCCGCCTCCGCCACAGAACGCCGGCTCCCTTTTCCCTATAGCTCCTCTTCCGCCTATCATGATGGGTCCCTGAGACTGTCGGTAGCTTTCAAGTGGTTAGCTTGAATATTGCAGAAAATAGAAACCGAATCACCTTCTAGATGGAAGAGAACATTGGATTGATAGTTCTTGAACATATCAGCAACTAAAACAACATTTGTGTTTGCGATATTGATCTCCTAATTCTGGTTCAGCCACATGTATCTAATTGCAGACAACGGGCAGGTAGTTATGTTATACCTGGAGATTTTTATTCAAAAGCATAATTGCCTCGTTGAGTTTCTCCTGGAAGTGAATCAGTATATCATGTTGTTAAACTTGCTGAAACTACTTACCACATTGGTGATGATTCGTGAAAGTAGCAAATTTTGCTGGTGCTCATGTGGGTTTTCCTATAAAAAGGTCATTATTATTTTGTATAAAAGACTGGCATACTTATCACGATCTTACCATAATCTCTATAAAGAATCTTCTTTGCCGTGCTTTATTTTATAAAATGTGATGTTTGACTCTTTCGCGGGGTTTCATGAAGCCATCAATGCCAACTTTAATTTAAAGCGCTACCTGATTGGTCGGCTGATTGAAGCTTGAAGCACAAGTTCAACGAGGCGGAAGGGGGCGGACTCAATCCAACTCAACTTGAAGACAAACAAACAAATCAACCGCGAGGTCAACGTCAACGATGGCACCAACAACTCCAGAATCTGAAGCTCATCAAGCGCTCATCGATCAGCTTGATGTTCACTCAATACGAAGACCATTTCGTAATACACACTGGAGACCCAACCAACGTCGCAACAAGAATATTAAGACCATTCTCGGTGACGCGGTTAGAAAGGAAGCATCACTTATACCGACGCAAGATAACAGCGGCGCTGCAACACCTTTCTCTGAGGATAATACTACTTCAACTGATGGTGATTTGACACCTGCTTCTACAAGCGCTCCTACACTTCAACCGAACCTTGCACAGGCTTCGAAGAATTTGTCGAAATTGGTATTGGAAAGGAACATGAGGACAAATGGCTTCTCCAATGCGCCCAATGCGACATATACAAATATCGAATCGGCGCCATCTCTGGCACATCCAAAGCATTATTGTGATATTACAGGGCTGCCAGCACCATATACGGATCCCAAGACGAGGCTACGATATCACAACAAGGAAGTGTTTGGGGTAGTTAGATCTCTGGGTCAGGGAGTTGCAGAGCAGTATTTGGAAGTACGAGGAGCGCACACTGTTTTAAAATGAAAAGCTATGGTAATCTACCACGTCGGAGCATTTGGACAAAGTGCAATCATCAATGAAAGCCTCACTCATATACACAATTCACCACCTCCAAGAATCAAGAGACGACGCGCGGAGATTCGGCATGGCTACCTGACAGATTGGTGTATATACTGATAGAGAGTCGAGGAGGGGTAAAGAATAATGATTGGGAGCGGGAGTTATGTGATTGGGTTGGATAGGGTTAGCTTCCAAGGGCGATCGGAGGCCGGGAAAGGGCCAAGAAAAGGCCAGGCCAGCACGAGGATATACAACCGACAGGATCAAGCTCGTTTCATCCGCCAACCACCTTTCAATGATTGGTTCAGGAACTCGCTCCGGCTAAATCGCGATGATGGATGGAGGATATCTGCCTACTCGGGTGGAGATGACGGGGTGCCGAGAACATATAGAGAATGAAACTCAATGACCAGGATAAATTGTCATGGTTCGTCGTGGCAATCATAATACTTTACCTCATGCAATTGTGCAATAGCTTAAGGTGAATACCTCTGAAGCAGGGAGAGAGGTCTCTCCCTACTTTTGATTTTATGTTATATTGGTAGGCACAATGGCCATGGTCTCGTTTCATATCTTAGTTTGAGGAAGCAGATTGGTAGTTAACTCCTTTTTAAACGATGGTTCTGGTGAAAGGTTGTCAAACAGGACTCGACAACCCAGCCTCGAGTAAAATGCATATCAAAAGCTTTTGTGGTCCGTAATTTGACACTAATCCACTAATTAAGTCATGAGCACGGACGCGTCTAAGCCGCGTTCTTTCAGTAAACTCCAACAAAAGAACATCAAGGACAACTCTCTTCTTACTTTCTGCCACTAATTGTTGGAGTATTACGAGAGGGTCTTTCATAATCACCCGAAAGCACTTCGCATAGCAATTTCCGAATTTGGAAGATATTTAAAATGCCTACCATGTGGTTGTCAGATTCCCAGAGTAAGTGCTTCAGACCAACAAGCGGATGGCTCTGAACTGCTTTGCGCCGAGTGGACTTAGTTTGCTCAGAACATGCTACTCTATCCAATGGGATGTATGCTAATAAATATGTTATATAGAGATTGGGGTAGCCTTCTGTTCAGGTGGTAGGTACATTTCTTCAGTTTGCGCTTCCGCAGATCCACCATAGCTGATAAGGTCTCGAAAGGCGGGTTCTTCCTGATCGGGGGTGTGATGATGTTTTTTGATAGAGCTATGTAGGTCCCCAACTATTTGCTAGCTCCATGAATGTGTTGCTAACAGATCTTCAGGCTTGCAATGGGCAATGTGCGTTTTCTCTGGAGCACTGATAGAGAGCTTCGTAGCTTACAATTCATCGATACATAGATTCTATTTCTGATCGGTTTAACTATTATAATCGGACCACAAAAGACGATGTTATTCTTCGCGCGGAAACAAAAGCTTAAGGGGACTGCAGCGTTCTTTGCTGGACTTGTACTCATTCTCTTGAGATGGCCATTTACGGGGTTTCTGGTGGAATTATACGGCATATTTATCTTATTTGGCGACTTCCTAGGGACCATAGCCGGTTTCGCGCGGAACATACCAGTCATTGGCCCTTACATTGGAGCCATGGTCGATAGGAGTGGAGTCGCCATGAGGGGGTCAGAATTGCCGGTCTGAGGAGCTCAGGTAGAGAGATACCCACCAATATCTGTAACAGCTATCAAGGAACGCGGAACATGTACACGATACTACGAGATGAGACGAGCTGAGCTGGGTTGAAATAGGGTTAAAATCTGACCTGTTACGACGTTTCAAGTTGTGTATCAAAAGGGGGCCGCGAGGTTAGCATACGTTTGGGCTTCCCACAAGGTAGACTAGATGGCAAATGGTAAAGTAGAGCACCACATGCTCCTTTATAATTCGCCAATGAGTAATGAAGAGATATAGAAGACCGGCAAATATTTGCATTTGTACCATTGAAGTATTAGACGTCACCTTTAAGACCTCGAACTGCAATTTACATCCTCCCATCGAAACTTTGCTTGCGAGAATGCTATCAAAAAAGACGAGAACGCCATAGTCAACCAAATATATCCATCTACATAGCCACGCAGCAGGAGTTCTGCTTCTTTGCTTGCGCTGCAGATCAATTAGTAAATGCTCGTGTCGATGCCCAGTAAAACCCAATAGACTCACTATAAAACATCTTGCTCTGCGCACTCAAGCCATCACTCTTTGCCACCAAGGTATCAATCTTCTCGCCTCTCTCTAACACACTCTCAATAGTCTTGTGCAACACAATCTTCGTCTCATCCAATTCCTTTTGGATCTTCATTATGCTATCTGCTTGTTGCGGGTCCTGATATTTCACAATATAGTCGTTTAGCTCGGGGAATGAAACCGTGGGGGTTGAATCGGCCCATTCTGATCGAGGATGTGCGTTAAGGAACTCGTCGACGACTTTTGAGAGAAGTTGATGGGCAACTAGGGCTGGGTATTCATGATCGGAGATTATTATGCCACAGACACCTTCGGTACGCCCGTAGGCATGGAATGTGTTGCCTATTCAGATTGTCAGTTAGAAGGTGTTAAATCATTAGGAGAGTACACAATTTACTATCTTGTTCAATATCCTGCCTTTGGCCAGGTTTTGTTCGTTCAGCCACTGTCTTACTGAATACTGTCATGAACTCGCCATAACTATACATTCCCCGTGTTAGCCAATCTTTTCAATAAATAGAATGGCATCAAATCACACCTGCTCCTTGTGAATCGACCGTATGCGCTCAACTCTTTCACGCAGCAGAGCTCGTGTGCGGGCGTTTCCGAGTTCTTGATTATCTGATAGCGGTCAGCCTGATAACATCGTCATTCATGGATCTGCGAACGAACTCCGATGTAATGCAACTTCATTTTGGCGATTTTATGTGGATTGTGAAAGTTTCTGGAGTGTTGGTGACTTAAATAGGTGTAGGTTTGGAAGGATGTGGCTTTGCTTTGTTCTGGATGTTGAAACTCTCATCTAGGCTGTACCGGTACATTCACATGGGGGGTTTATGACGGCGGATTTTCTTATGCCCGATTAGCCCCACCGATTACTGGAATAGGTGTTGATTGACGAGAGAGGTCACGATTGGCTACGAAGCTTCTCATATGCGGACTCCGGGATGAATTGAATAATACGATGACCACGCACTTACGGATGGTTGGAGAAAATACGAGCGGGGTCGTCGCATGCGGCGGATTGGTAGCTTGGTGGACATGGACATTGTCATTGTCATGTCGTTTTAATTTATATGGAGCAAAACTCGGATCAATACCCCCCCGCCGCGAGGGCCTAAGTGACTCTTCTTACAAACTAATTCACGTTCAACAAAATATTCTTGAAGAAAGTTTGATGAGGATTCATCGAAAATCATGTCTCCTTCAACGCTGGATGCAGCTGAAGTCCAATGGCAAACTCAACTTGCTGCTATGAAAAATGCTTTGGCAGAGTTGAATTTGCCTCCCAAATCTTCAAACAGCGAAGCTAAATCATATGATATTGATATTGATGTCGATTTCGACGATGATGACGAATTTACTTCTGGAAATAGCGGAGATGATGTCTGGGATTTCATCAGTGATGATGATGAGGATATGTACGTCAGTGATATCAACGACGAATTCCCTAGTCTTTCGGACTCCGCTGGTGCAGGCACCTATGGACCTCAGTGGTTGAAGAGCAAATGTATGGAAATTGCTCAGAGGAAGCAGGGACTTTCAGGGAACGACCTCCAGGAACAAATCTTGGCAATCTTGGCTTCTGATAGTGGAGAGGAAGAGCTTCAGTCTACTTTGATTGACATGATCGGTTTTGATGACATCGATTTCGCTATTGAAGTTATTTCTCATAGGAAAGATATCAACTCTGCCTCACGTTCCGCGGGGCCTAGGGATGATGGTATTTTTACTGGGAAGTTACAGACGAGAAGGGAGCGAGAAGCAGCTTTAAGACAAAGGGATTATGAGCATAAGCATGCTACGTTAGGACCTGCACTAAACCGAGACGAAGAGAGATATCCTCATGTGTATAAATCGCATCATGCCGGTAATATCCTGGATGCGAGAGGGAAAAAGTATGCTCTACCAATGGGTAGTGAGAGAACGGAACACGAGAGATACTCAGAGTATACTATTCCTGCTGGGAAAGTTGGAACGCTGGGTGTAGGTCGAAGACTAATCGAAATCTCCGAGATGGACAATCTTTGCAAGAAAACTTTCAAGGGTTACAAGACCCTTAATCGCATGCAGAGCTTGGTATATCCAGTGGCATACAAAACCAGCGAGAATATGTTGATTTGTGCTCCCACTGGTGCTGGTAAAACCGATGCAGCAATGCTTACGATACTTCACGCTATTGGAATGAACCTGTCGCCACACCCATCAGAGGTTCCTGAATGCTCCGATTTCGTGGTCAATTTTGAGGACTTCAAAATCGTTTATGTTGCCCCAATGAAAGCCTTGGCAGCCGAAATCACACAAAAGCTAGGTAGTCGTCTAGCTTGGCTTGGTATACAGGTTCGCGAATTTACTGGCGATATGCATCTTACGAAGAAAGAAATTGTTCAAACCCAAATCATCGTCACAACTCCTGAAAAATGGGATGTAGTCACTCGAAAAGGCACTGGCGATACAGAATTGGTTCAGAAGGTTCGACTTTTGATTATCGATGAAGTCCATATGCTTCATGACGATAGAGGCTCTGTCCTGGAATCTTTGGTTGCACGTACTGAACGTCAAGTTGAGAGCACCCAATCTCTCATTCGTATTGTGGGACTCTCTGCTACTCTTCCTAATTATATCGATGTGGCCGACTTCCTTAAAGTCAATCGTTATGCAGGTCTATTCTACTTCGACGCCAGCTTCAGACCTGTACCTCTTGAGCAGCATTTTATTGGTGTCAAAGGAAAGGCTGGAACCCGACAGTCTCGAGAGAACATCGATACAACCGCTTTCGAAAAAGTTCGAGACATGTTGGAACAAAATCATCAAGTCATGGTATTCGTTCATTCCAGGAAGGATACCTTCAATACTGCTAAGATGCTGTTTGAAAAAGCTATAGAGCAAGTTTGTGTGGACTTGTTCGATCCTTCTAATCATCCTCAATACGAAGCAGCTGTAAAGGATATGAAGAGTTCACGGGGTCGTGAACTTAGGGAGTTACTACCGAAGGGTATCGGTATTCATCATGCAGGTATGGCTCGTTCGGACAGAAACCTAATGGAGAGGTTGTTTGGAAGTGGTGTCCTCAAAGTTCTTTGTTGTACTGCTACATTGGCATGGGGTGTCAATCTGCCAGCGGCGGCAGTAGTCATCAAAGGTACACAAGTTTACAGTGCCCAAGAAGGTAAATTTGTTGACCTAGGTATATTGGACGTCCTCCAGATCTTTGGTCGTGCTGGTAGACCACAGTTTCAGGACACTGGTATTGGTATGATCTGCACGACAGCAGATAAGCTTGATCATTATCTCCAAGCTGTCACCTCGCAAGTTCCTATCGAGTCTCGATTCTCCAAGCATCTTGTTGACAATTTGAATGCCGAGATCGGTTTGGGAACAGTTACATCAATTCCCGAAGCAGTCACATGGCTTGGATACTCCTATTTGTTTGTTCGAATGAAGAGGGATCCTCTGACTTATGGTATTGATTGGGCTGAGGCTCGCGATGATCCGAACTTGGTACAACGTCGACGACAACTCTGCATTCAAGCAGCCAAGACACTTCAACAAAGTCAAATGATCATCTTCAATGAAACCACCGAAGAGCTAAGAAGTAAGGACGTTGGACGTATTGCTAGTCAATTTTATGTCCTGCACACCAGTATTCAGATATTTAACACCATGATGCAACCTCAATCATCCGAAGCCGATGTTCTCACTATGATTGCTATGAGTGGAGAGTTTGATCAGATTCAATCAAGAGATAGCGAGTCAAAAGAACTGACCAGTTTGAGAGAGGACTTTTCTCCGTGTCAAGTGAAAGGTGGAACTGATTCTTCACATGCCAAGACGAATATTCTCTTGCAATCTTACATATCTCGAGCGCACCTTGAGGACTTTGCTCTGGCCAATGACACAAACTATGTTGCTCAGCAATCTGCTAGAATATGTCGTGCGTTATTTATGATAGCCCTCAATCGTCGTTGGGGCCATCAATGTCTCGTGCTTCTCTCGCTATGCAAGTCAATTGAGAAGAGAATTTGGCCATTTCAGCATCCCCTTCATCAATTCGAGCTAGCCAAGCCAATCCTAAATCAGCTTGATGCCAAGGAAAATCTTTCTATTGAAACTCTCAAAGACATGGACGCAGCCGAAATTGGTGCCATGGTACACAATCCTGGTGCTGGAAGGACGATCTCAAAGATTCTCGACAATTTTCCCACACTCAGCGTTGAAGCCGAGATCGCGCCTCTGAATAGAGATGTATTGAGAATTCGTCTTTACCTTACGCCCGAATTCAAATGGAACGATCGTCATAATGGTACATCGGAAAGTTATTGGATCTGGGTTGAGAACTCCGAAACCTCTGAAATATACCATCATGAGTTCTTCATTCTCAATCGAAAGAAGTTACATGACGACCACGAGCTCAGCTTCACTATACCATTATCAGACCCACTCCCTACACAAATATATGTGAGAGCTGTTTCTGATAGATGGCTAGGTGCAGAAACGGTGTACCCGATTTCGTTCCAACATTTAATCAGACCTGACACCGAGAGTGTTTATACCGATCTTTTAAACCTCCAACCTTTGCCCATCACTGCTCTCAAGAACCCAGCTTTGGAGGAAATCTACGGCAAGCGTTTCCAATTTTTCAATCCCATGCAGACACAGATCTTTCATACGCTCTATCACACGCCAGCAAATGTTCTTCTTGGGTCACCGACAGGTTCTGGAAAAACCATTGCTTGTGAATTGGCTATGTGGTGGGCATTCAGAGAGAAACCTGGTTCTAAAATTGTCTACATCGCTCCCATGAAAGCACTGGTGCGTGAGCGAGTTAAGGATTGGGGAGCTCGCTTAACTAGACAAATGGGCTTAAAGCTGGTTGAATTGACTGGTGACAATACGCCTGATACACGGACCATTCGAGATGCGGACATCATTATTACTACTCCAGAAAAGTGGGATGGTATTAGTCGTTCGTGGACCACACGAGGTTATGTAAGACAAGTTAGTTTGGTTATCATCGATGAAATCCATCTGCTTGGTGGAGATCGTGGTCCTATTTTGGAGATCATTGTCTCTCGTATGAATTACATTGCAACTCAGACCAATAGCTCGGTCAGACTTATGGGCATGTCGACTGCATGCGCCAACGCTATGGACTTAGGGAACTGGCTTGGCGTCAAGGAAGGTCTGTTCAATTTCAGACATTCCGTCCGACCTGTTCCATTGGAGATTTTCATCGATGGATTCCCAGAAGTTCGAGGCTTTAGTCCTCTAATGCAGTCTATGAATAGACCGACTTTCTTGGCCATTAAGACCCACAGTCCAGATAAACCAGTTATTGTCTTTGTTGCTTCTCGAAGACAAACACGCTTGACAGCTAAAGATTTGATTAACTTCTGTGGCATGGAGGATAACCCTCGTCGATTCGTCAAGATGTCTGAGGAAGACCTCCAATTGAATCTTGCCCGAGTCAAAGATGATGCTTTGAAAGAAGCTTTAAGTTTTGGCATCGGCCTGCATCATGCAGGTTTGGTGGAATCCGATCGTTCCCTTGCCGAAGAACTATTTGCCAATAACAAGATTCAAATCCTCGTCGCAACATCCACTTTAGCATGGGGTGTTAATCTTCCAGCTCATCTAGTTGTCGTGAAGGGTACTCAGTTCTTCGATGCCAAGATTGAAGGATATAAAGACATGGACTTGACGGATGTTCTACAAATGTTGGGTCGTGCTGGACGTCCTCAATTCGATACTTCAGGAATTGCTCGTATCTTCACTCAAGATTCCAAGAAAGCATTCTACAAACATTTCCTACATACAGGTTTTCCAGTCGAATCATCTCTCCACAACGTCCTAGACAACCATCTTGGCGCCGAAGTATCCGCAGAAACAATCACCACCAAACAAGACGCTTTAGACTATCTAACCTGGACTTTCTTCTTCCGTCGTCTTCACAAAAACCCCTCATATTACGGCCTCGAAATCTCGGCTGAAGAACACAATACCATCACCGCTCAACAAATGGCCAATGACTACATGATTTCTATGGTTGACAAATCGTTGGCCGAACTCGCCGAATCTAAATGTCTCGAGATCTATCCTAACGGCAATATCGATTCTACCCCCCTCGGAAAAATCATGTCCTACTATTACCTATCCCACAAAACCATTCGTCACCTCGTTACCCACGCTAAACCCAACGCCTCGTTCCGCGATGTGCTTTCTTGGATGTCCTCAGCAACCGAATACGATGAGCTCCCGGTCCGCCACAACGAAGATCTCATCAATATCGAACTCTCCAAGAACTTGCCTCTCCCAGCAGACGCAGCACATTTCAACGGTCTTCCCATGTGGGATCCTCACGTGAAAGCTTTCCTGCTACTCCAAGCTCATATGAGTAGAATCGACCTACCTATCTCCGATTACGTAGGTGATCAAACCAGTGTTCTCGATCAAGCCATCCGTATTATACAAGCTAGTATCGATGTTCTCACCGAGTTAGGATATCTCTCAAGTGTCATCCAAATGATCACCCTACTTCAATGTATCAAATCAGCCCGTTGGCCCGAAGACCACGCATTATCTATCTTCCCCGGTATCCCCGCCGATTTCAACCCTACGTTTGACTCGAGTGGTAAACAAGATATTATACCCAGCTCCCTCCAACAATTCTCAGCACTACCTCAACACGCCTATCAAAATCTTAAGAATGCTCTACAAATACCCGTCAGAACCTTGCAGGCATTTGAAAAAGCAGCAAATATGATACCGAATTTGAGAATCGAGGTGCAGAATGTTACGGCATTGAAAATGGATGTTATGATCAGGAGAATCAATGGCTTAGTCGATAAAGAGGGGAAAATGTACGCGCCCAGATTTCCAAAGAGTCAGAATGAGGGGTGGTTTGTGCTTTTGTGTAAAAAGGGTAGTGATGAAGTGGCTGCCATTAAACGCGTGGGATGGAGTGCTCCGAAGGGTAAAAATGCTGGAAATGGTGGGAATGGAGGTGAAGAGGGGAAAGCAAGTAATGCAATAATAGGCATAGGTGTTAAACCACAAGCAAGAGCAACACTTAAATTTCCGGGGACGGAACAGGGTGAGGAGGGTAATATACAGGATGGCAGGGTGTACGATGTGTGGGTTGTTAGTGATGGGTATAGGGGGGTTTGTTTTAAGGTTGAGGGGGTACAGGTGCCGGATGTTATGAGGGTTGATGTTGGGGATGAGGGGAAGGGGAAGGGGAAGGGGGTGGGAGAGGGAGAAGGGAAATAGAAGGGTTTAAGAGGTGTTTGAGCGGGTTGTAGGGGAGGAAGAGGGGAGAAAAAGGGGATAGAGGATGATGAATGTGAATATGAATATCAATATGAATAGACGAATTATTTTAATGACTAGAATGAATGATATTATAAATTAGACACTTAATCATACAATATCATCAACCTACGGTCCCGATATCTCAAATTCATCTATTCCACCTCCAAATCAAGTAAACTAAACTGAATCAACATCTAAATCGAAAATACCTCCCACCCATCACAAATTTCCAAGGACTCCACTTCAATCTACTCAAGTATTGTTTGTAACTTTGTATATGCTCAGTACTATAGTATTGACTGTATTATAGAGATACTAATAATGGATCTCTAATAATATTAATAATAATATAATCTCAAATATTCACTACGGTACTATACTATACTATACAAGGGTATCAAGGGTATCGATGTACTCGAGTATATATCTTAGCTATCCCATCCCCCCATCTCATCCCCCTCTCTATCCTTCAATATCCCATCTCCCTAGTGTCCCCTCCCATTTTAATCTCTGCCAAATCCCTTCCCTCCCCTCTGATCCCATCCCTTTCCTTCATATTCCAATCTTTTAATCCTGACTTACCTCTCCCACCTCTCTCATTTTATTCCCTACCCTTCCCCTCCACATCCCATCTCCCTAATCTCATTAAATACCATTCCATCACTAGCTTAGATAAGTAGGTAACTACTAACCAGGTGCTAAATTATATACTCATACTACGCTACACTACACTAGCAAGCTATAAAACAACAACTTAATTAAACTGCTACTCTAAACTAACTAAATTACTGCTCTGAACTAACTGCTAAACTATTAAGCTAAACAAACTACTGCTCTGAACTACTAAACAACTAACCTCCTATTAAACACTATTGATAAACTATTAAACTACCGCTCTGAACTAACTAGTAAACTACTAAACTAAACTACTAAACTATCAAACTCTTACTTTATACAACTAAACCAATCTACTAAACTCTAAAGTACTAAACTATTATATTAAACTACTACTCTAAACTACTAAACTAAACTTCTACTCTAGAATAACTACTACTCTAATTTACTAAACTACTTGAGTAAGTAATTCCAGTAATTCTAGTCAATGATATGAAATGATATGATATGAGATTCTATTCTCAAGATGAAATGATATTCTCAAGATGAACTGAAAAGAAAAGAAGCTATTTATATCGTATTCGCGTTCGAGTATTATATTATATTATACCATACCACACCATACATACCACACACACATCACACACACCACATCACAACTCAATTCCTTCCAATCACACACGTCACAACTCAATACCACATCATACCACACAAACATAAAAAGATATCAATATACGATTTACTACTACTACCAGTACCACCACACCACCACGCCACCACCAATACAACTAACTCATCAAAAGAATAAACGCCCGCCGTTGAATTTAAAAAAATAGGTATATATATATCCACATAATGCATGCTTCCATCCATCATCCATCCATGCATCAACCCCAATCCAAATCCAAATCCAATCCAGACCAGACCAAACCAGACCAGACCATACCAAACCAATCCTTCCTTTCACCCGCGCATCCATCCATACCCAATGTTCCGTCCAATAAACTATAACCAATAACCAATAATCCGATAATCCAATATCCTATTTCCGTGCTAATCCATGGGTATGTATAGGATGGGCCTGGATTTTTCCATAGCTAGCTTGTCGTATTCGTGTGTTTGTGTTTTGTGTTTTGTGTATTGTGTTTGTGTAATGTGTATTTGGGTGTCATAATCATTCCCTATTCATGTCCATTTCCCTCTTTTTTCAAGAATCCTCTCGATTTCACCCGACCAAACCTAACTCCTCAACCAACTACTTCCCGCCGCGCCTCCACTCCCACTACCCCCTCTATTCCTATTCCCACTCCCACTACCACTCGCATTTCCCATCCCACTATCCCTCCCACCATTTCCATTCCCCCCTAAACCCAGACTCCCCTCACCCCCTGCCACCTCCAAACCCGGCTGCACACCCGCCAACGGACTACTCGGCGAACTCGCCTCACTCCCATTACTCCTAACGCTCGCCGTCCTCCTATGCCCACCATAACCCATAAAGCCACTCAGAGAACTCCCACTTCTTTCCCTATCCCCCTCTTTCTGCACTGGACTTTGCGGACCCCTCGAACTCCTATTCCTACTCAATGGAAAACTAACCATCCTGCCTTTGCTCCCCGAAAATCCAAATGCTGCTCCTAATCCTCCTCTTTCTTTCTTTTCTATATCTGTACCGAGGATTTTACTCGCTTTTGCGTTTCCGGATGAGGAGTCTGTACTCATGAGATCTTCGACGAAACTACTGGGGAAGAGACCCCATTTTCCTTTTGCGGTACAACCGCTCCAACACCATTGATCCTGCCATGCATATCCTACATTATAAATCCTTTCCCCCCTCGAAAATTTAAGCCACCCTTCTTCTTTATCTTTAGGTTTCCAATCCCATTTCGCAACTGCTTGGAGGGAACTTTGTGGGTTCATTTTCACCTCGTCCCGCGGGGGTGAGAGAAGTGAAATGGTGTTTGCGGGGAACGATCCGCGTTCACCGTCATGATACCCTATGCACCAATTACCACTAAAGCGTTCTGGGAACGTTATCCCGACAATTTTCGCACCGTCTGCAAAATGCATAGTTGGCTGACCGTCAGGATCACGAAAGGTTTTAGCGGTAGGTTTGGGGTGATGGGTTATGGTTGCGTGAGCGGAAGGGCGAGAGGCTACTTTGGAGGCGATCTCAGACATGCAATAGGTAGAGAGTTTGGGTTCGTGGATGGTGAATTGGATATCGAAATCGAGGACCGAGGGAGGTTGTATCCCATAGACGGTTGTGATGCCTGTTACTTGGGGAAGGGGACGGGGGTGACGGGCTAGGTGACGGAAGAGAGATGTTACGCTGAAAAAGATGGTTGCGTCGTGGTCTTCGACTGTGCGGTGATCTTCGATGCAGAATATGCACTTGATGGAGATGTTAGGGATTATTGTAAAAGTAAAATAAGGCAAAGAAAAGAGGTACTCACACCGTAAATAGCATCATCTATTGAAGTTGTCTTGAGATGACATTTGGAAATAAATCGTTGACGCCATCGAATACCAGTGTTAGAATAAATACCAGAACCTATTAGACCAGACAGCATTAGCATCCCGCTTCCACGCTTCAAAGCTAATTTGTATACATACGATCAAGCAATCTATCCTTCTCCACATCATTCCATCCCACTTCATACGCACACTTGATACATCTCGCACTCAGGGTGGCACTATAATGACCCTGGTCCTTCTGTTAGTACAAACAAACCTATATATTAGCAAGGGGACGCGAATCAAATCTGACCAATGAAAGTTCTTATACAAAGCAAATTTAGCAAAGAAATTCTACATACCGAAGGTCTCTTGACAACTTTAAATCCTGTTTCACCTCTAATCATCGCCTTAGCCCCCGGACAAAATCCATCGAATTTATAAAATGAACTATCATGTCTCATAGGACAATCTATACTTTTCATTGAAGGAGTTGCTCTATGCATTGCTAGTTGACTTTGACTTCGATTTTCCACGATAGGATTTGGAGCCTGTATTGGTACTGGTTCTGGATCCTGACTCGAAGCAACCTCTAAACCGCTTTCAATAACGGGAACAGCTTCTAATCCTTCTTCAACTCCAGTTCCAAAAATAGGCACTTGTAATGTGGCAGCTAAAGGCGTAGTCACGATTGGGGTAGCGGTTGTAGATGCAAGCCTATCCCATGAACTTTGTTCGTGTATGTCAGACATAGGTGGACTAACTGGACTTTTCATCCACATCGACGTTCCCGATTCCGAAGGTTGATATTCGCTAATGCCTGGACTCATTGGTGTCGCTGAGATCGGCGTCGGGGGCTTCAAGGATGCAGGAGAGAAAACTTCATTTTCCGGCTTAGTCGTACTTGAAGATGCGGGTGTAGCATCACGATCCCGTAATGAACCATTCCTTGAACTCCCCCCTTGAGATGTCTGACCTTGACTTCTTTTCCGCCCTATCAAATCATCATATCCACTCCCTCGGGAACTATGCCTCTCTATTGGACTACTAGTTGATGAATATGAGGACCAAGGAGATGTGAGCATTGATCCATCACTGAAACTTTCACTTGCCCTGTTCTCTTCGATCGAAAAGACTGACTTTCGTAGTTCGTCATGGAACGACATACGAGATTGTCGTCTTCGTTCCAGGAATTCCTCATTTGCATTTAGCCGTTGATATACGAGCTCTTTAGCTATTAGTATTTGCTTTGTAGGTGGCGATTCATATCCATATTTAGAGGGAGGTGTAGGTTGTAATGATTCCTGATAACTTGGTTCGGGAGATAGACCACGGGGAGGGGTGTTTGGTCCTACATCAAAATATGGTCCACTCAAGGTCCATGGATTATCTTTTTTGGGAGACCTCTTAGGAGCTTCGGATGCCAGGACTTTATTTTCGATAATTTGTCTATTGAACTGAAAAGGTAATCCTAGAGAGGGTGGAGTAGTAGAATTTGAAGGACCTGGTATCGGTTTTCGTCGAGGTATTTGTTCCATGATCGGAATATGTACCGGACTCAAGGGGGGAGATTTATCCTCCATCCGAAAATCATGACGATCCGTCTGATCTATCCGATCCCGAAGATTGTTGAATATAAAAGTACATTCCGTCCGACATCTTTTCGATTGATGTCTAACAGTTGTGAAAGCTGATGGTTGAAAGGATCCAAGATTCTCATCGAAATCTTGACATTCATCAATTTGATCCCTTAGATCAATTCTAACCTCCTTCAATCGATTTTGGATAGATTCTACCAAATCATCAGTCAATAGCCCTTCCAAACTTAAAAACCATAGAAAATCACTCACCATCCTCCATCAAAGCCTTAGCAAAATCTTCTCCACATGATCCAACAGCATCTCTATAAGCATCAGCAATAGCCTGCCTACTCTTCTCCATATTCCTCTGCAATTCTTCTGCCAATTCCGATATATATAAATAGTTCTCCGGGCCATGGCTCGCAGATCTCGAAACCCTCTTCGTCAACTTGATCCCCGCATCCAAAGCCTTTATAATGCCCTTGACGGGAGGGGCGAAATCGTCCAACATGTGGGCGGGAGCTTGCGAGCGTAGCCCGCGAGTAGTTCGTGTATATCTAGGGGGACTACCGAACCAAGACCGACCCAAGACGAGACCTTCGGGACCTTGTTCACGAACCCTCAACTAGTCCGACCGTTTCGCGCAGAGGCCACTCCGCTTCCACTTGTTTTAAGCTTAATTGATAATCGAGTGCCAGTGGTATTCGGGGTCGTGTTTAGAAAAATCGCTCTGCGTCGATCAATCGAAGGGGTAATATCCGAATCCAGATCCGTTTTCCCAGCAATCCAGTCCGGTCCCTCAATCTCGAAATCCCAATCCGCAGTCCACAGTATCAAAATGTAAAGAACGATATGCTGAAATATGTATGCTAGCTTCAAACGAGGAAAGAATGATTGCGCAAGTAATTAGGTAGTTAGGTAATACTTTGAACGAATGTAGGTGAGGTCTGTGTCTGTAAAGAGAGATTTGAACGCGAAATGATTACTGCGTTGCGCTGCACTACTGCACCTGAGGCTCTTTACATTACGGTATGTATATGTAAGTAACCTATTACTCGGTATTTGTTACTAGCCCACAGGTCGCCCAGTCTTTTGGTAGTGCGGTGGTATATGCAGTATAACCATACTAGGAAATGTATCCGTAAGATCTTATAATATAGAATCCTCACAATGACTGGCAGAGGTACGATAGTACGATGCCCAGAGAGAGGTACGACGTATGAAGTGTAGATATGCCAGAATTACAATACCCAAAAGCACGATATCGATTATTCCATCTCATAAACTCTCCCACAATAGCTGCTGAATGCTGACCGACACACACATACGTAGCTTTGCTTGAGAACTTTATTAGCACTAGAAGCTTACCTAGGTATTATTTGCTCTATACAGTCAGTTCTTTTTCCCACCACACGCACAATCATACAATCATCCGAAGAACCAAAACACTAACCCCAAATAGCATTAGAGGCCGAAAAGCATCTTCTTTTTTTTTCAATTAGTACAGGGCTTAACCAGGGGCTATGCTAAGTTTTGCAGCACAGCCGTGGATCAGGGCTGAGAATAAAGTGGTACATGGAGGACTAATAAGGCTCTAGGTAGCTAAAACTACTTAGTAATCCCGAACTATGGAGTACGAATCCCCTGTTCTACAAGTTTTATTATATATATAAAAAATATGAGATACCTATACAATTGATAATATACTCGAGTATATTCAGTACATCAAACTTAACCTTGTTTCCTTCTCAATAAAACTGTAAAAGAAAGAATAACCCTTAAAGTATCTACTCGAGTACTTTAATTCGTATCTAATCTACCCAAGTAGCTCTAGCGGATTAGCTAATCAATCCATCCGTGACCATTTGATAGAGTCGGTTGGTTCAGCCCGGGCGTCAATTCCATCCCTTCATCCCATCCATTTCATTAGGCGTTTTTTAGGTTTGGATATACTCGAGTAGATTTTCTACTGTTGTGATTGATTTTAGCTTATTCTCTGAATGCTTATAGTAATGATACAGTAAATATATAAAGATAAATGGATATATGCCAGCGGCTATTGGATCTCAAATGATTTTGAATCAATCACTATATTTTTATTTCTCTCTTTCTAAATATTTATTTGCATCAAGTCGTTGGTCTGAATTCTGATTGCTCTCATCTTTGTCTCATCTTATCGCATAAAAAAGACGTTCCAATCGATTTACTCCTCCGCGCGCAGTGCCTGAACCAGAACTGGATGTGCGCCAGCAAATCCCATACTAGTCAAATATGTAAAGAATAACTCCATTGTACAAGAAGGGACAAAGGAGGCACGAGTAAATTCAAAGCTTAAAAGGTTGCAATGGCAACTGCGATGGCTTGACTATCCGAGTGCGAGATTGAAATGCTAATCTCCTTCACACCAGCTTTCTTTGCTGCTGTTGCGGCATCACCGTGAAGCTATATGTTCGTTAGTGAATGATTCTCTCTCTTAAATGAGGTGTGGTTTAAACTTACCGAGACAATTGGTGCACCCTTTTCGTTGTTGGTGATCTCAATCTCCTTCAAGGGTGCTCCGGCGCCCTTGCTTGCAACACCAAGAGATTTGAATACTGCCTCCTTTGCACTCCACTTTCCAGCAAAGGATGCCTGTGGGTGGGGTGCTCGCTTGCAGTAAGCAACCTCTTTCTCGGTGAAGTTTCTCTCTAAGAATGTGCCGTTATCAATGTTGATAGCAGCGATATCCTCTACATCAACACCAACTTTGTTGTTGGGCGCCGAAGCACCCTTTGCAAGTGACTCAACCATTTGCTTTGTTCTCTCTATTCTCTCCTTGTTGACAGCCTTCTTGGCGAAGTCTGGAGCATAAGTGAGAGCAGAAGTCTTCTTGTCAACTGATACACGAGCCTCTGGGTTAAGGAAGACAGCTCCTTGTTGTTCATCAGAGTAAGGTGAGTTGTCTTTGGCAACAAACAAGGTGTTCGTGATCATTCCGTTGTGGAAGTATCGGTAAGCCTTTTTCTGTCTGGCCTCAACCTTAGTGCAGTATTCCGAGTATGTTTTCTCATCAAGAGTGGCGAACAGATATTTGGGATGAATACCAATAGCTTGGGTACCCTTTTGACCGAAACCGAAAGAAGTAACCGAGAAAGCCTTGATACCATCCGTTTGAATGCTGCGATTGGGGTAAACGATGTAGTCAAACTTCTCCATGACTTGGTCAATATTGTCGGCATTTCTGTTACCAGGAACCAGACCACTGTTGAGGACCTGCAAAGAACCGTTGAACATCCAAGCTCCAGCAGCACCCTTTGGATGACCTGTCAAGTACTTCTGGAAGATACCCATGACAGCGTTACCCTTCTTACGGCCAAGATGCTCCATTTGTTGGCAAACGACCGAACATTCGTTCTTGTCATTCGCAACAGTCGAGGTACCGTGGAAAGATGCCACATCCAGGTCGTCAATGGTCAGGCCCCAAGTAGCAAGGGCACCACGGAGAGGAGCAATGGTAGGATCTTTCTTCCAGAAGGTGTTACCAAGACTGTTCAAAACCTCACGTTCTTGACGTAAAGCCTCGCGCTCGATGTGTTGTGCTCGTTCTTGAGCATATTCGGTTTCGTTGAACTCTCCTCCTTGAGCTTTCATGGCAGAAATCTCCTCATGAAGATATTCAAGTTCCGATTCTTGCCATGCCTTGATATTTTTCTTGCGAAGCTCAACTTGTCTGCGGCGGTACTTGATATCCAAAAGAGGCGATGGGAATTTGCCAGGATTTTCACGAGCGGTTGTGAGAACACCTTGACCCGGGGCAGGAACAGATCTTCCAATTTTATCAGTGGCAGTGGTAGTCAATCCAACGATACCATAGATGGGCACGCCCATGTCAAGAGCAAGTCTGGCAGTCATGATGACTTGCATACCACAACCTTGTGACTCCATGAAACCATTTCTCGTGGTAGTGGTAGGACGAGACATTTCCCTAGGTGTACGGCCATGAGCGATTTCATCAACAGCATTGCTAGTGGCCTTCATGTTGGCAAACTCGTATGAACCTTCTTCTTGGAAGTCATCGAAACCACCAACAAAGCAAACACGAGCTTTTCCTTCCACGATGGTCTCATAACCAATGTCGATGGATTCGACTGCTGTAGCACAAGCTCCAACAGGAGTCTTGATTGGACCAGTGGAGGACATCAACAACATGTTTACCCAAGCACTCATAGTGTTGATGAAAGACTCCTGGAGGATGTCCTTTTGGAGTGGTTTGTCCAAGAAACGGTCTTTGTACATTCCTCTCAGGGCCGAGGTACCACCAATACCTGATCCAATGCAGTTACCTACTTCGGAGATGTGTACATACTGGTAGAACTCGTATGGATCAGTGATACCAGATGCCAAGAGAGACTCAACAGTACAGACAAGGACGAACAAGGTCACAGGGTCAACTTGTGAGATAATGTCGTCAGGAATACCGTATTTCTTAGCATCCCATCCAGTAGGGATTTGACCTGCGACAAGTCGGTCGAAGCGAAGGGCCTTTGGAATAAGAAGCGTGGCACCCTTTCGCATGCGAACGAGATACTCTCCAGAGTCTGGGATCTCGAAGATCTCAGCCTTGTCACCGTGCTCACGTTTAAACTCCTCTGCTGTTTCCTTGGAGGTCTCAAATGGCTCCAAGTCCTCTTGAATGACGACTTCTTGAAGCAATTGCTTCTTGTCCGGGTTGTAGCCATTGAAAAGTTCGGGCTCTATCAAACGAATACCAGAGTGTTCGAGAATGTACTTCTCATATTTGCCCTTGATATCCTTATCGTCAACTGGATCTCCAGTCTTGGCATCAACCCATCCTGCATATGATTTACCTTTGAGGTTACCATTGTGATTTTTGATGAGACCCATGATCCAAGCCATCTCAACACAACCTTCCAAAGAGAATTGGCCATATGCCTCCATTTCCCATCTAGTGCGAGAGTTACCCCATGGTCCAACCTCAGCGAAACCAGTGACTACAACAACCTTTTCGAGGTCAACCATTCCCTTGAGATTTTCGTTGAGTGGAGCAATGTCCTTCTTCCAGTCTGGCAATTGTGGGAAGTCGTATTTGATGTTTGCACGTGGTTCAATTGTGACCTTCTTGTAGAGTGCCTCGCTGTCTTCACCATTGACAATCTTGTTCTCAATAGCAGTCTCCTTGGTGACAGCTTGTCGGACTTCGCTAGTCTCCATGATGTCTTTTCGGAGTTTTGTCATCATATCCTTGAGATTGGGAATGAATTGTAAACCGCCGTTCAAATCAGCGAAGACTGGCTCAGATTGGCAGAGGTCAACAATGTCAGGAGCCATAAGACCTAACAGATTGAAAGCCATTTCTTGCTGAGAGAATGTGCGTACACCGTAAGCCTCGACGCCTTCTGCGACAATGTTGTTCCCAGACATGAGACCAGTACCACGAGTCCATCCAATGACAGCTCCGCAAATGGTGAGGAAGCTGCCCCAGCTTTCCGAGTGCCATCTGTTGAACAAAGTTTCCAATGCCAGTTTGGATTCGGCGTAAAGACCATCGTTTCCGAAGGTACCGTGGTTTGGAGAGAGCGGCAAGACGACTTGAGCAGGTCTGGTCTCGAAACCTCGCTCGAATTTCTGGGTCTTAACACAACCCAAAAGACGGAGAAGATTGGTCAACATTATACGATGGGCAAGCTCGGATTTTGAGTCGATGCTATCAATCTCACGGCCGTTCTCGGGGATGGCAGCAAACGGAATGACATAGTCGAGGTCCCATCCAAGACCCTTCTTTGGATCGTAAATGTAATCAACCAAGGCCTCAACATCTTGTTTGCTACCTTGGTTGAAGGGAACAACAATAAGTTGAGAACCTCGGGATCCGTAGCGAGCATACATTGATTGATAATACTCGGTAACTTGTCTGGAGAATCGACTGGTAGTCACAACAACCTTAGCGCCACCACTGATCAACCCTTGCAAAACGTCGGCACCAATCGAACCAGCTCCGGCACCAGTCATCAAAGCATTCTTGCCTTGGAAAGTGACGCCAGATTTAGCAGCTTGCTCTAAGCCATCAAGATAGAGGCCGGTAAGCTTCTTGCTGTATTCCCAGCCGTGCTCGTTCTTTCTCTTCAAGTGGAGGAACGGAATGGTCTCGACCTTTCCAGCCTTTGCATGGCCATTAGTCTTGCCACCATTCATCTTAACTCCGTTCTTCTTGCCGGATGAGGCCTTGCCATTGCCGTTCTCTTTGGGGATGATCTGTCCTTCACTCATTGCTAAAGAGCGAATAACGTCACCGTAGAGACTCTTGATTTGGAGTTGAGATGCTGTGGAGAGCTTGTGTTGCTGCTTGATAAGTTTGTAAATACGGCTGAGATCGTTCTGGACCTTGGTGCGGTTTCCGTATTCCGAAATCTTTCCTCCATCAGCCATTTCTCGTACATAGTGCTCAAGCTTTCGGACACTAGATCTTGGGATCTCGGCGTAATCCATGTTGCCGCGAGCATCGATTGTTGTGTGTGGTCCAGTTGGCAATGCAACATCCTTGTAAACAGGTGACTCGTTGAGTACATCTCTGCAGTTATCAATGAGTGACTGTCCGAGTTCTTTTGCAAGCTTATAAGTTTCGCCACGCTCGGTTGGGCAGTTGTCAATATGGTATTGCATGAATTCGAGAAGGGTAGGATTGGATCTGTTCATGATGCGAATGCACTGACTGACGATTTCTCGATCAACTGCCTGAAGTCGACCAAAAATGATATCGTAGTACATCGTCAAGGCATCTTGTCGCGCCCAATTCCATGACGAATCGTATACTCTAGCTTTTAATTGGGTGAACACGGGCTCGATACCTGCAGCGTAAAATTCTCCATGTTCAACATTCCACAGGTCAAGTTGCGTTTGAAGAGCCTTTTCTGATTGTTGTGCACCAATGAACGCCTTGTCGCCTGCTCGAAGATCCATCTTGAGGTATCTGGCGTAAAGTTCAAGCTGCTGCTTGAAAAGTGCTCTCTGATCCTTGGTCAAAGCATCAAGGGCAGCGGGATCCATCATCATTCCACCACCTGAACCACCTGCATCAGCACTGGCAGATACCGTTAAAAGACTAATTCCTGCATTTGCTGCATATTTTTGTGTAACATCGTCGAGGAATGCCTTTGCATCATTGTCGGATCCTAAGCGTGCTGCTGGCTCCATGGTCAGAGCCAAAAGCAAGGCACCATCTTGTCTTCCGGATCCCAGACCCCATCGTGTTTCCAGATATTTTCGTGCTGCAGTAATATTGAAACCACCAGGCATTTTTGAGGATATCAATCTCGCAATAAGGGATGATGATTGTTTCCCTAATACGCCATTGAAAGTTTGCTGCATCGAAGCTCCTAATTCGTCTAGAGGGGTGTCTTCTGGCTTCTCGGGCGTTGATCCGAATTCTTTGCCCAAATCTCCTAATATTTCATTTTGAAGTGTAGATTTTCCTGTAGAATTTCCATGATTAGCCTCTGCTACCCAAGCAGTCAAAAACGACGGCTCTTACCTCCGACAAGATCCTTAATGGCCTTGGTCAATGGAATATCCAAAAGTGGTTTCTTGAGTTTTTGGGCTATCAAAGATCGCACAATATCTATGGCTACGACTGGGGAATCTGGGACTTGTGCGGCAGGGCCTGCACTTGGCAGAGGGGCTGCTGCAACGGGTGTAGGTGCCGAACCAGAAGATGTTGCCGGTGCTGAAGCAGAATCACTTGGAGCGGCCGCGGGCTCATCATCCACGGGGTCGACATCATAATAAATCTCCTTTGCATCCTTGTTGTAGCATAGAATTTGACGTTGAATGGATTTTGCTGCATCGTAGGCTTCGTATTTTGAGGCGAGTGTCCGCTTGGCCATAGTACCAAGAGTATCTGCAGGACCGATTTCGACGATCCTCTCAGTAGTCTTTTCATCCAAAATCACATCTTGTGTTTCAATCCATCTCACGGGAGATGCAAATTGATATGCCAAAAGCTCAACGAGGAGCGTATGGGCGAGCTCTTGCTCGACTTCGGGACGCATGATGGAGGTATTGCGGTCGAGGAAAATTAAATTGTATTCGAAGGGGGTATCATAAAAAGAATTTCGGCGAAGGAATTGTAAAAGTTGGCCAGACTGTTAAATTCAAATTTTTGAATCTTAACACAGCACTTTCTCTTTTTCTAGTAGCGAACAAAAGACTACCCTAGGAATTCCTCTAAAGTCTATCTCTAGTAATACAAAAGATATAGAGACTTTTTGACCTAATCAGCAAAACAAAATGACTGATTTTATTAGGGAAATTGAAATCAAAGTGAGGTTTAAATGAGGATGGGGAATAATGGACTTGACAGAAGGGAGGGGAGGCTTCTAATGTTCTATCTGGTGGAGGGGAGAAAAGACAAATAAATTGTTAGAGTAAAGAGAAGCTTTCTTGCATTCTACTACTGTAAAAGCATTATTATTTGTCTCTAGGATTACAAGGGGAGCGATCTCAATGGTTGACAATTTTTTGGCCTTCCTCCCAACAGACGGGGCGGATTTTGAGGCTAGATAATATTAGGTTTAGCTTAATCCGCTAACCCTTGCTAATAATTATTCTCCCCCCTCGAAAGCACACATCCATCTCAACGACCCTTTTGACGAGGCTTTTGACCCGACATCAAGGGTTCAAGAGGAGTTCAAGGTTTCAAGAGTGTATGGAGCAAATAGAATGCATCTTGCCAATACGACCAACTGTTACACGCTTTCTGTCCTATACATGCAATCCGATATGGAATTAGAATTCTGTATATACGGTAGGTACACAAAAAAGGTAGAGAAGGTCGGTCGGCGCATCCCTCTTGGACCCCCCTTCCTTGATTGTATGCCATAAACTGGGGGTACCGTATACTGCTATAATCGGAATTCTAGCTTCAAGGCGATCCGGCTTTCGCTTCAATATGGCTTCAATATGCTTCAATATGCAAGACTTTTATGAAGACAAGGGCAATATTAATGGATCTAATATCGATATTGATTACCCCTCGCCTCGAGAAGGGAATGTCATGCCATTATTTGGAATGTGGTAAGCAGATATATCAACATTTCTACTCAACAAATGATTACTTATGGAAACCTGCAACCAATATCCAATATCCAATATCCAATATCCAACCACGGCCTACATCCGAAGACCCCTTTTTATTTTAGATTCCCCGATAAACTATGGTGCCACGAAGTTTCAGGGGGAGAGAAACATGAGAAAGGACACATTTTCGAGGAATTACGGAACTAAATCTAGGTACGCGCAGTAGTAGGAACTTCGAAAGTTGCCCCCCTTCCATACCTAGGTGTTCCGCTATTAGGACGATACCGGTACAGTACTTTGAGTCTTTGAAGTTGTTTGAACTTCATATGGATATCAATGAGGTTGTGTTACAAGTGACGTTCATGCAAGATAAAAGATAACAAGACCAGGGCCACCAGGCTGACTGTTTGACCAGGTAGCCCCATAGATATTGGAGTAGAAGTATTTTCAACCCCCTCCTTCCTGGTGCCCCAACAAATCACTAACTATATTGGGTCTTTTCCCCTGCACTGGTGAATGATTTTTTGGCGTTACGTTGGGAGATGGAAAGCTTTCCAATTTATTAGTATTTTTAGTATTTTAGTATTGTAATTATAAGATATAACTATATTAAAAAAGGCGTACCTAATACAGATTGGTGTCTTCTACTGAAGAACTTCATACTTCTGTTCATCTGTTCATCTGTTCATCTGTCCATATCTCTCATCTCTCATCTCCCATCTTCTCAATTAATAAATTCTTCTCTCTACCTACATTTTGCATTTTGGTGGAGCGACTTGTACCCTTGCTAGAATAAAAGACCGTCTGTAACTTTTTACACCACACCAAACAAATCCCTTTCTCCTGCTCTTCATTGAGTTCCTGGAGTCCCGAGAAAAATGTATGTACAATCTAACAATTCGAAGCGTATTCTCGAGTGGAAGTTTTGATCCTGGCCTTTTACTGACCTCTGCGTAACCAGTTAAAGACAAAATTCATCACTTATACACAATCGACCACTTGCCCATCATGTACGGCACTGCTACCGGCCCTCAAACGGGCGTCTCAACACCACGATCTTCATCATCTCTGCGACCACTCGTTCTCTCACATGGCTCATTAGAGCATTCATTTTTGATACCCACAAATATTCATTTCCAAGCCTCACAAACCAAAGACCGTTTTCTCGCATCCCTTCCCGAGCCTACAGACGAACTCGCACAAGATGATGAGCCTTCATCCGTGGCTGAACTCGTTGCCAGATATCTAGGATTTGTAGCGCAAGAAGTCGATGAGGGAGAAGATGATGCGCAAGGATCATATGAGGAGGTCTTGAAACTCGTTCTAAACGAATTTGAACGTGGTTTCTTGAGGGGCAACGAGGTTCACGCTTTGGTTGCTACTCTTGACGGAATTGATGCAAAGAAACTTAAAGTAGTCGAATCCTACTATGCTGCGCGTGCAGCCAGTAACAGACCCATCCGCCCTCACGAATCAGCACTGTTCAGGGCGGCCAGCGACAAGGAAGCCAAGATTTACAATGTTTTTGGTGGACAAGGAAACATTGAAGAATACTTTGATGAGCTTCGGGAATTGTACAGAACATATGCGGTCTTTGTGGAGGATTTAATTACTGAATCTGCGGACCTGTTGCAGAGTTTATCAAAAGACCCTAGGGCCGAGAAATTATACCCAAAGGGTCTGGACATTATGTCCTGGCTTCATGATCCCGAGTCCACTCCAGATATCGATTATCTGGTTTCCGCTCCAGTCAGTTTTCCATTGATTGGTTTGGTACAGTTTTGTCACTATGCTGTGACCTGCAGAGTTTTGGGTCTTACTCCTGGGCAATTCAGAGACAGGATTAGTGGAACAACTGGTCACTCTCAAGGTGTTGTTTTAGCCGCTGCTACTGCTGCTGCTGACTCCTGGGAATCATTTGACAAAGTCGCAGGTTCAGCCCTCACAGTTTTGTTCTGGATTGGATCCCGAAGTCAGCAAACATTCCCAAGAACTTCTCTCGCACCAAATATTCTCCAGGACTCCGTGGACAATGGCGAAGGAACACCCACGCCTATGTTGAGCATTCGCGATTTGTCACAAGCTCAAGTCCAGGAACACATCAACGAGACCAATAAATATCTTCCAGAAGACCGACAAATTGCCATCTCTTTGATCAACAGTGCTAGAAATATGGTTGTTTCAGGACCTCCAATCTCCCTGTATGGTCTTAACCTCCAATTGCGCAAAGTCAAGGCCCCAACTGGTCTCGACCAGACTCGAATCCCTTTTACCGAGCGCAAAGTTAGATTCGTAAATAGATTCTTGCCAATCACATCTCCTTTCCACAGCAAATACCTTTCTGAAGCCTCAAACCATATCAACGAAGACCTAAAGGATGTCAAGATTGACAGCAAAGCATTGGGTATTCCCGTTTATGACACCAAAACTGGAAATGACATCCGCGACGATGTTGAGGGAAACATTGTGCCAACCTTGGTACGCTTGATCACCCACGACACCGTTCAGTGGGAAAAAGCTACAGTTTTCCCAAACGCAACTCACGTCCTTGATTTCGGTCCTGGTGGTGTATCTGGCCTTGGAGTTTTGACCAGCCGCAACAAGGATGGAACTGGCGTTCGAGTCATCTTGGCTGGCACAGTCAGTGGTACTGTCCCAGAAGTCGGTTACAAGTCTGAGCTCTTCGATCGTGATGAGGAACATGCCGTCAAATATGCCATTGATTGGGTAAAGGAGCATGGTCCCAAATTGGTCAAGACCTCGAGCGGTCAAACATTCGTGGACACAAAGATGAGTCGGATTTTGGGAGTCCCCCCTGTCATGGTTGCTGGTATGACACCATGCACTGTTCCTTGGGATTTCGTGGCTGCGACTATGAACGCCGGATACCAAATTGAATTAGCTGGAGGCGGATACTACAATGCCAAAACTATGACCGAGGCGTTAAGGAAGATTGAGAACGCCATTCCCGCTGGGCGTGGTATTACTGTCAACCTTATCTACGTCAACCCACGTGCAATGCAATGGCAAATTCCACTACTTGGACAATTGCGTACGGAAGGCGTACCAATCGAAGGTCTCACAATTGGTGCTGGTGTGCCATCCATTGAGGTTGCACAAGAATACATTGAGACTCTTGGCCTAAAACATATTGCGTTCAAGCCAGGATCCATGGAGGCTATTCAAGCTGTTATCAACATCGCAAAGGCCAACCCAACTTTCCCAGTTATTCTTCAATGGACTGGAGGACGTGGAGGTGGACATCACTCCTTTGAAGATTTCCATCAACCAATTCTTTCAATGTACTCACGTATTCGAAGACAAGAGAACGTTCTCTTGGTCGCGGGTAGTGGTTTCGGTGGCGCAGAAGATACTTATCCTTACCTCACTGGTGACTGGTCAAAGAATTATGGCTATCCACCAATGCCATTTGATGGATGCCTCTTTGGCAGTCGTGTGATGACAGCCAAAGAAGCATATACCAGCAAAAATGCCAAGAAGGCTATCACTGAAGCCGAAGGTCTTGATGATGCCGCATGGGAGAAGACTTATAAGGGTCCTGCTGGAGGTGTCATCACAGTTCGATCCGAAATGGGCGAGCCAATTCACAAATTGGCAACTCGTGGTGTCAAATTCTGGGCCGAGATGGATGCAAAGATCTTCAGTTTACCAAAGGAGAAGCGAGTACCCGAATTGAAGAAGAACCGCGATCACATCATCAAGAAGTTGAACGATGACTTCCAAAAGGTGTGGTTTGGACGAAACAAAGCTGGAGAAACCGTTGATCTCGAAGATATGACATACGGTGAAGTTGTTCGTAGAATGGTGGATCTGATGTATGTCAAGCATGAGTCTCGCTGGATCGACAGATCATACGTTAAGCTCACTGGTGACTTCATTCGCCGTGTTGAGGAGCGTTTCACGACTGGTCAAGGCAAGCCATCAATGCTCCAAAGCTACGCAGACTTGGACG